CTCCGCTCCCATGACAACAGGGAGACACAAGGCTATCAGTATCCTATCAGATACTGTGTGGATGCAGTTTATATTTTAGATTAATACTTTGTCCAACACATTGCTGTTTTCCCTAACAATCCATGCTTCCTACACCTGAACTGAGACTTAGATATTAGTCCTCAGTCATCTGGAAGGCTGCAGCTGCAAACGCGGTGACGCATGCTGTCAGCAGAAGCGTGGCCTCCTTGTGTTGTTTCCAAAATGCCTGCACTAAGCACCATCTCTCCCGGCTGGGGAGAGGCTTCCAGCCACCTGGGAAGTTCCCCTCACTCCTGAAGAAAGCAGTGATCTGTTCCCTACATGAGTGGGAGGTGCAGGGTGCTACGTCTTCTAATTCATCAAAGAAATCCAAAAATGTAGATTTATGTGGGAACTGGGTGTGTGGGTACAAGGGGCCTGGGTTTGAATGCAGGGCCTCGCCTCCTGCCTGCTAGGTAGGTACTCTATCACCTGAGCCACACCTCCAGCCTAAGAATGCAACTAACGTGACATTGTGTCAAACTCCCCTTGGGGAGCTGCCACCTATGGTCTACTTATTTCCTTCTTTTCATGCATAAAACCCAGGTGGCTAACAGGACAGTACCAACGGGCCAGCTAAATATTTATTTGGTGTTTCCAAATTTACATCACATCCTCCTCAGAAACTATTCTTTTTTTTTGGGGGGGGGGGTTGGTCGTGGGGTTTGAACTCTGGGCTTGGGCGCTGTCCCTGAGTTCTTCAGCTCAAGTCTAGTCTCTACCACTTGAGCCACAGCACCACTTATGGCTTTCTGGTGGTTTATTGGAGAGAAGAGTCTCATGGTCTTTTCTGCCCAGGCTGGCTCAGATCTCAGCCTCCTGGGTAGCTAGAATTACAGGTGCTCGTGAGCCACCGACACCCAGCTCTATCCAAATTCTTAACTGCCATCTTCACCAGCTACTAAGGGGCAGGTGAGCAGCTAAGAATTGAAAATTGAGTCCATTAGGGAAGCAACTCTGTTCTGAGTGACCTAGAAATAACCTTTTTCAGGAGCCATGCCAACATAGCTCTAGAACTGATTAAGAAATCCTAAGCACGGCTGGGTGTCAGTGGCTCACACCTGTAGTCCTAGCTACTCAGAAGGCTGAGATCTGCAGATGGTGGTTCAAAGCCAGCCCAGGCAGGAAAGTCCATGAGACTCTTATCTCCCAATAAACCAACACAAAAGCCAGAAGCAGAGCTGAGCAAAGAAGCTCAGGAACAGTACCCAGGCCCTGAGTTCAAAGCCCAGGACAGACAAACAAAACCTTAAGTAGCATGACAACCAAAGGCTGAGATGTCTGTTCTGTTTTACAGGGGACAACTGTGGGAAGGCTGGGAAGGCTAAGAAGCAAAGAGATGGACCTCCAAGACCAGAGGCCTTACCTAACTGGACAGGCCATGAAACCCATGCAATTCGCAGCAGACCTGGGCTTGAGGCCCCAAGGCCTGAGAGACAGCCTGCTTCAGTCAGTGTGGGAATCCTGGAGGACCACTGTCAGGAGCAGAGACTTCAGGAAGTCCATTCTGCCTGGGCTTTGCTTTGGATTATACCTCAGCAGCTGCACAATGAATTTTCATATCAAAGTCACCACTAGCCCTCTCTGCAAGGCTCATAGGGAAAAAGAAGAGAGAGAGATGTTCAGTGAGGCTTCCGCCAGGGGGTGAAAAGTCATGGAATCCAAATCCTCGGGCAAGACAGCCCTGTTCAACTCATCCCCCTGTTGTATTTCGTCACAAGAAAAGGAACTGAAAAGCAGATGGGCAGCTCACAGATGCTGAAAGCAGCATGTGGAGCTTGGTGATGAATGAAGAGCACAAGAAAAGTGACATTTACCTAGTCCCAATGCCCTGGCTGCCTCCAAGTCCAAGGAAGCTGCCTTCACTGTATATATGTGACTATTTACATGGGACCAACATGGGGTTTCCTACTAGATCCCCCTAACAGTTCCCAAGTTTCCAGACAGGTGGTGTCGGTCTGTGAGTGCTCTGTGCAGGGCCAAGGTCGGGGGAAGACCCTGGTGCTGTGCACACTCTGTTCCTGCGGACACCACCCAGCACTCATCCTGTGTCCAGCCCAGAACTGACATTTTTGTAAGGTACTGGAAGGAAACCAAGTCGATGTATGTCCCATGTTTTAATGACATTGTATTTGTAAATCAATTTTGTAGTGTAAGTACTGTCGTATGATGTTCAGAATCCCAGCCGATGACCAACCGTCGGTATGAAGAAAACCTGGGATTTTGTAAAAGGCCATTCTTGGGAGTTTTTGCTGTCTTTGCCTTTTTTTTAAGCAGTCAAGAAACTAACAGTCATCATCTTTTTGAAGGAGATGCCTTCAGTGTGGAGGATGTTTAAAGATGAACAGATGGTATTACATTTGCCATACAACCTCACAGGTGAGGCTCAAGCCAGACCAGGTCTGAGACTTCATTTTGGAACTACATTCCTCAACTGAGTAATAGCTCCTCTTGGCCACACCTCAGCTAGTTGCCTGTGTAGGGGGTAGTTTTAACCTGGTATAGCATGTTGTGAGGGTTCTAAAAGAGGAGGTATGTATAGTTCACCAGTAGTTCAGGAGATCTCAACCGAAGTTCTCAGGTTCCCATGCTCATGTAGCAGTGCCCCAAACACACCCAGCCCCTAGGGAGAAAAATGGTTTTAGTATCACAGAACTGCTGCTGCAATTTAAAATAGGCTTCTTTAGCCTCCCCTTTTACCTTTAAGCCAAAAGTGAGGAGGAAGAGGAGAAATCATGCTCTTGGGCTCCAATGTTAAATAGAAACCTTTATTTACAAGGACATCCAAAATGGTCAGAAAAGCAGTCACAGCTTGCTCCCCCATCTCATCAGTCATCCCGCATGGCCTAGATTCTTTGCAGTGTGAAGAATGACTTCCATTTTAAGCAACACTTAATGTACACTTGATTGAACCCAAATTCATTCTTAATAGTCTAAGTTAATTCCTGAGAATTTAAATATTGCTCAGAATGACATTTCCATCTTCTTTAGACACAATGTATTAGAAAGGAAGAGAGAAAAGAGGGAAGAAAGAAGACAACACCTGCCTGTTTGTGAAGAGCTTGCTGTGGAGCTACACAGCTCTTTGTTCTTCTGCTGTAGGGATGCTTCCCCTTCCTACAGCATTCGCTGCTTAGGAACAAAACGCCCAGCTTGTACACATGAAAGGAAACCCACCGGCACATGGACACACATGGACAACTGGCAGTCCTTCTCTTTACTTTCCAGCTGCACCAACTCTGGATGAGAGAACTTCAAACATCAAACAGCTACCTTCCATAGTCTCTGCCCCCTTAGGTAGCTAACACTATCTAAGGTGGGACTGGGTTCTGGTATGCACCCCTTTCGATCCACATGCCAAGTTGCATTGACTGCACACCCACAATGAGCAGAAACATGTAGCTCCTTAATATCATTCTGATCTTCATAAAATATATTTTTTATTTATATATCTTTGGATTCAGCAAAGAAAAAGTAGGTACTGGAAATATCCCACATTCTAAAAGCAGATGAAAAGATTACTTATACTGTTCACCCAACAGATAACCTCCATTTATACCGGGGTAGAAGTGAGGAGAGACGGGCAGGAGTACAGAGAAATTTACCCAAACAAGAGGAACGGGCTCCAAGTAAAAACAAGTTAGCCACAGACTGCATCTATTAAAGAAAATAAAAAAATCTTGAGCTTGCACCAGTAAAATCAACAAGTAGAAAATATAAAAACTTATAATAAACTTCATTTCCCCCATACAAAAAAAGTGGGTGCTGTTGTTGCCTTCCAATTGACCTGGAGTTAAGACTGAGGAAGAATTGCAGGTTTTTTGGTGACTAAGAAAGGCAGATGCACCCTCCCCCTCTCCACACACACAGGTAGAGGGAGGAAGGCTCGGCTGGGCTTTGTCCCGCCTGCCTCCAACAGAACAGAAGGCATAGTCAGAAAAGCACAGACCAGCACAAGAGCAGTTCCGGATCTACCATGGGAGATCTACTGAAGCTGGGGCAGTGGTACAAACTCACGATATTGCACACACTGATAGATAAATAAAATCCACTCTAGTGGTGATTCTGGAAATATGGACTTCACTTGTTCTTAAGCTTATCAAAGAAATTAAATGAGCTTACATTCTGAGACATCTAGAAAGACTGGATAAATCGTCCAATTTTAAAAAGTTAACTAGCTCTTGGTTCTCACTAGAAAATGGCACCAATGCTATGAGAGACTTGATATTTACAGATATATCCTAAAAGCCCAGCTTAATTCAACTGTTTGAATCTAATTACCCAGATAAAGGTTCCCCCACTGCAAGCTGCTAGAATGGATGGCAGGAAGGCAAAGAGGAAATGGAGGGGTAGAGGAGAAGTGCAAAAGCGCTCAGGTCAGAATTGGCAGCTCTGGGTTCTGAGCCCCGGAAGAAACAACATGACACTGTATTTGGACAACTGAATACCACATAAGCAGAGTGACAAGACAGTGGGTGGATTCTACCTGACTTCAACGCAAACAAGATCTCACTCAACTGGATGGAAAGTGAGTAACAGGGACTGCTTGAAACCCAAAAGATTTGAAATCGAATTGCTTATTTCCTTACTTCCTGTTTTTTTTAAATTTTTAAGCTCATTTCCCTATATCTATTCTTTCCCCCCAAAAGTAACAAAGTGCTTCATTCTCTGGGAGAGGAATTTTAAGAATTTTAAATGCTTTCATCTAAACAAATGATCTCTAAAAAAACCATTTAGGTGCTGGTGGCTCACACCTGTAATCCTAACTCAGGAGGCTGAGATCTGAGGATTGTGATTTAAAGCGAGCCCAGGTAGAAATAAAAATCCCTGTGAGACTCATCCCCAACTAACCACCCCAAAACCAGAAGTGGCACTGTGGCTCAAGTGATAGAGCACTAGCCTTGAGCAAAGAGGTTCAGAGACAGCGCCCAGGCCCTGAGTTTAAGCCCCACAACTGACCTTACCCCCCCCCAAAAAAAACCCAAAACAGACAAACAAACAAACAAAAAAACGCATTTAGATCAAGAGATTGGTAAGAGTGAGGCCAAGGCTGGGAGAGGAAAAGCTGTGGACGCCATGCCTCTTCCAGCCAGGAGATCGAGGAGCATTGCTTCTGTTGCAGCCTCGGCACACGGGGCTTATTGAAATTGACAAAAGTTAAATACTTAAGCTTCATGAACTCTGTAAAAATGAGCTGATGTGACCTACAAAAAAGGTATATACATATTTTACATAATACAATATCTTAAAGGTCATATTTACAAAAAATATTCACAGAAACACTGCGAAATTCTGATTCAGAATGCAGTACCTGGCCTTGGGTTTTCAGTTTATTTTTAAAAAGCATTATTGCTCTACCATATAGGCAAAGGGTGACACCAGTACTTTTTTTTTAATGTTTTAAATCATGGCTCCTGTCCAACAAATAAGTGTTGACAAAAACCAAGAATGTGGCTCACCATTCCTCAAGACCTCAGGAATATTGCATTTTATCCATTATTTTTTTTTTAATAAAGTGCACTCAGCTGCACGTTAGCATATGAAAAATTTGCCACTGCTGCAATTAAACACTGTCATCTCATTTCCCTTCTGCAAAGCCATTTGACTTCAATGACAAGTCCTGGGGTGTTTCAGGGCATCAGGGCTTAATGAAAATCTTTATGGGGAGGAAACCTAGGACAACAGCGAGAGACAGCACTCAACACCATCAATAAAGGACATGAATATGGAAATGCCAACGCCACCACATAAAAGGGCAAACGCAGACCTACTTGATAGAAACCAAAACACTAAGGGCCAGGCCTATACTCTATGTCAGACTGCTGCTAGAGAAACCCCTTGTGACCAGGAACCCCGCCCCCCTTCTCTCCAGAATCAGCACTGCTATGAAGCAGAAGGCTGAAAACACTGGTTTGGAACACGATGGTGCACACAAGTAAGGAAACAGGTAGATACTGCACTTCAGCTTCAGGTCCAGTCCTGATCCAATGGCATTACTTGGAAGACTGTGATGAAGCTCAAGGCTGGTTGGTGCTTCCAAGCTAGATGCATCACCTCCTGATGACCCTATGCAGTATCCTTTGGGCAGTGGTTTCCTTAGCGGTCCCAGTATAGAGAGGTCAGCAGTACTTCTGTTAGAAACAAGAAAACCTGGGTAAAATATGCTCAACACAATAAAGAAAACCTATATCTAGCACAGGATTTGCCAGGTGCCCCAGCTAAAACACATAAGTATCCTCATGGCTCAGGACCTCAAAACTATTTTTTTCAGTATAGTTCTAGACCCAAGGTGAATGGTCCTGCCTAAGACCTTTAGATTATAATGGGGGCTCTGGTTCTCTGCAGAGGAAGACAAGAGTCTTAAGGAAGGAAGGAACAAACTCCATACCTGGTCAGGCCCCGTGGGCATGCCGGACATAGGCATGGAGCTCATGGTCATCTGTCCCAAGTGGCCACTGCTGCCGTTCATATGCACCATGCTATATGCAGCAGCACCACCCTGGTGAGCAAACTGCTGCTGCGGAAAGGCGCTGAGAAGAGAGAAGCATGTGAGAACAGCACACACAGGACCTGGCACAACTCTGTCCCCATACTTAAGCAGAAACAGAGAGAAAACTTGTGCTTCTACTCTTCATAGCTACTCTTCAGTGCACATTTTAACCAACATATGCATACAGTCTAAAGCACTTGCCACACGTCATGCCACACATCTCACTTCCAGTAGGAACTCAGACCGTGTGCTCTCTCCATGCAGCTAGTATGACTGGAAATGCAGTGTATTCTGGGTTTCTGCATTAGGATGTCAGTCATCTTTACCTGTTCCTGGCCAGGTTTGCTGATGGCCACCCCTTCATTTCTGAGGACTGGTACATCGGTGCAGTCTGAGGGTGCTGCATCATGGGGTTCTGGGAGGAAGCCATCCTTGATGACATCATTGCATTAGGGGGACTAGACACTCGACCAAAGGCTGGATCTGGTTGTTGACCCATTCCTTGAAGAAAGCAAGAATAAGAAATTGCAATGCTCAAACACTAGCAACTTGGAACCTCCAGGTTTCCATAGCAGCCTTCTGCTCTTTTCTGGAAAAAGGGTGGGAGGAAGTATTAAGTACAGAATATAAAGTAGCAAATCCGAGTGCTGGTGGCTCACTCTTGAAATCCTAGCTAGTTAGGAGGCTAAGATCTAAGAATTGTGGTTCAAAGCCAGCTTAGGCAGGAAAGTCCATGAAATTCCAATGAACTCCAAAAACCAGAAGTGGTCCTGTGGCTCAAAGTGGCAGAAAGAACACTAGCCTTGAGCAAAAGAGCTCAGGGACAGTGGCCAGACCCTGAGTTTAAGCCCCACAATCGACAAGAAAAGAAATGGTATCAAAGCTGTCTCCCAGTTACTTACTCGGTAGTTACTTACACAGAATGCTACCCTGTCTAGGTAATTTGCTTTCATGACCACTGCACATGAAAGCACTTCCTATTACTAACCCTCTGGAGAAGGCAGAAGCAACTGCTCCTGAGGGCTGGGATGAACCATGACATCCTAATCCCTACCATGTCCCTGGAACCTCTCAAAGGCTGAGCTGAAATGCATTTAAAAGCCCACACTATATTACTCTCACTGACTTAACAAATGTTCACAGACTCACCATACTGGGAACATGTAAGAAGGGATGAGGAAGAACTCTGTAATCTTTCTCATAAATGAAGAGATCGTTACCTAAAAAAAATAAGGCCTGTCTGAAAAAATAACTGTAATAGAGTACGTTTGCCTCAATTTCCTGGGCACTGCAGCAAACCTCTTTGTTTACCATCATTGGTGATTAATTTTAGTTCTCTTGTGAAGCAACAAGATGAAGTGAATAGTGTTCAATTTTTCACATACAAGAGGCCTGGTGAAGATACACCCTTAGTAATGGAGCTTGGAGGAAGACATACTCAGTCTAATTTACCATAATTTGGTGGATATGGAAACTGCTGGGGCGGCACTTGTGGCATTGCAGATCCTGTCAAAACTCCATCCATGCTGGGGGAGGCAGTGACATTCGGAGGTGGACTAAAGGCCTGGCTTTGCTGCTGCTGCTGCTGCTGCTGCTGTTGCTGCTGCTGCTGTTGCTGCTGTTGCTGCGTCATCATCATTGCTACCCTCTGTTGTCGGAAGTGATGACTCAGCAGCTCTCTGCTGCGCTGAGCGACCATCTGGGCATTTAGAAAACCCTGCTAATGCCCAAGAAAGAACACAGTTACATGTGTAGAGTGAGAACAACCAGTTCCATGCCAGCAGTGCCCACAACACTCCAGAAGCCTTTTGTACTAATTATGAGAAAAAGGAAATGAACGATCCTTTATGATAAAGGCTGTCTGAGCCCAGCATGCTGACATGCACCCCGTCCCAGCACTTGGGAGGCTAGGAGGAGCAATGGGGATTGACTGTGCCCAGGAGTTTTTAAGGCCAGCTGGGCATCAGTGAAACTCTTGTAAAGAGAACAAGGATAGCACTAAGAATCTGTTGGGGTAGAAGGAAGGGCGCACATCCACCTCCCCACTTAAAAAAAAGGTGGGGGAGGCTAGGAAGGTGGCTCAGTGGTGGAGTGCTTGCCTCTCAGCATGAGGCCCTGGGTTCGATTCCTCAGCAGCACTTAAACAGAAAAGGCCAGAAGTGGCACTGTGGCTCAAGTAGTAGATCGGTATCCTTGAGCTGAAGAGCTGAGGGACAGCGCTCAGGCCCAGAGTTCAAGCCCCACACTGACCAAAAAAAAAAAAAAAAAAAAAAGATGGGGTTATACTCAAGATAAACAAGGACCTCAAAAGATCTGGTGATCCTTAAATCTCTTGAAAGGAAAGAACA